CAAAGTTTAACCCGAAGGAAGATGAGATAAGACTTTATCTGACCATGTTTGAGAGTCAGTTGAAGTTCGTAAATATACCTGAAACTGATTGGATCCTATACTTGACTGGATCATTACCATCTGAAATAAATCAATTAGTTGTTAGAGAAAAGGAAGAGGATTCTAAAGATTATGCAAAAGTAAAAGCTATGCTTTTGAAGCGATATAGACTCACAGCTGATAGGTTTCGACAAATGTTTTCTCAGCATAGAAAATCTGCAGAAATTACATGGAAGGACTTTGCTTTTGAACTGAAATCTTATTTTGAAGGGTGGATTAAAGAATTGAATATCTCTAGTGTGAATCAGTTACAAAACTTTATCATCAGATCAAATAAAGAAATGAACACTTCCCGAGGTAAGAGAACATTTTGTGGACAGTGAATCAGAAATGAACAATCCGTTGGAGCTCGCAGATAAGCTCGATTATTATGAAAATGTAAGACATGGCATGAAGAAAAATAGACCTTCCAATGCAAAGAAACCATATTGTAAAGAAAATATTAAATTTGTTCTAGGAAGAAAATCTAAAACTAGTAATCCTAAAAACGTTAACCAGGTTAAAAACACAAATGTTAACAATTCTAAATTTACTAATTCTAGACAACAAAAGAAAACTTCTACTCATTGCTATGGTTATGGATAAAGTGACCAGATTTCAACATTGGTAAAGCGGAACACCATTGACCGGGAAGGGGTGATTAAACAGAGTAACACAAATTTTCATCGAACAAAAAATCGTATTGTAATATATTTTTAAAATTTCAACACAAGTACAATTTACAAATACATTAAAAGCAATTATGTATAGTATTACGAGGCGTATTCGGAAACTAAGTACCGTCTTGAAAAAAAAAAAAAAAAATAGTAAAACAATTTTTTCGAATCCAATTTTATTTTTACATGAAAATACATGTCTTAATTAAAATTTTTTCAACATAGTTTCCGCCAATGATCAAACACTTGTCATAGCGGGTGACCAGTTTTTGTATACCATCGTCAAAGAAACTTCCCGCCAGTTTCGATAACCACGACTCCACAGCATTTTTCGTGTCATCATCAGATCCTAAGCGCTTGCCATCAAGCTCGTGCTTCATGTGCAGGAACAAGTGATAGTCGGACGGCGCCAAGTCCGCGCTGTACGGCGGGTGATCGAACCCAATGAAACTGTCGAATTAACGATTGAGTGACACCAGCAGTATGGGGCCGAGCACTGTCATGGAACAACAAAATTCCTTTACTGAGCATCCCTCTTCGTTTGTTTTGAATGCCACGCCTTAGTTTTGTTAAAGTCACACAATATTATGCCGCATTAAACTTCTGGGAAGAAATTCAGTAAGCAAAACGCCTTTCCTATCCCAGAAGACAGTGCACATTGATTTTTTGTGATGACATTGTCACGTTGAACTTTTGTTTTTTCGGAGAATGAGTGTGTCTCCACTCCATCGATTGTTGTTTTCGATTCTGGTGTGAAGGACACACCCAAGTTTCATCACCCTGTCCACATTTGGTTTAAAAAGTTTTCTCCCTCATCACTGTACCTCGTGAGAAATGTAAGGGCACTACCAAGTCAATTTGTTTTGTGAACATCAGTGAGCATTTTCGGAACCCATCGGGAACACAGTTTGCTATAATTCAAGCGGTCAGACACAATTTCGAACAAAACAGTACGTGAAATTTGCGGAAATGCCTCTGAAAGAGTTGTCATTGTGAAATGTCTGTTCTCATGAATTTCTTCATCAACTTTAGTTACCAAATCATCGGTGACAACAGAAGGCCGACCACTCCGAGCCTCGGCGTGGACATTTGTTCGACCTGCATTAAACATTCTTACCCACTTTCTCACCATTCCATCACTTATCGCGTATTCACCGTAAACTTCTGCCACTTGACGATAAATTTCGACCGGTTTAACATTCCTCGCGTTCAAAAATTTAATCACGGCACGAATCTCACAGTCAGCGGGAGAACTAATTGTCTTAAACATTTTGAATGTGCACAGCAAACTGAAAACACAACATAGAGCAACCAAAATGGCGACAATTGAAAGTCAGTGAACAAGAAAGACTAGTGCGCATGCGCAGGACGTCTACCACAGCGCTAGAATGAAACGGTACTTAGTTTCCGAATACGCTACGTATTTTATTCTTTCGCATATTTCTTGTTTGAGTGAATTTAGCAGATTGCTGTCGTTGTTTGAAAGGTCATAAAATTTTTCACAAGAATTTCTTAAATTATATTTCCCATATAAAATGGCTTTCAAAGTCTCAACACTTAATTGTGATTTTTATGAGGTATGACACAGCATGAGTTCCTGGGGTATTTCACGTTTTTAGTGCATTATGTATGGAACATAGTATGTCTCAAAATGATGAAATATTTTTAACCATTTGTTTTCTATTGTGATTTTCGCTGATGTCCAAGATTTAACCTTTTCCTTATCAATATATTTTTTAATAATGATGTCTAATTAAAAAGATCATTTTCAGAAATATTACTATATGGGAAATTTTGAGTAATATGATCGAATGATTTTAGCACATTCCAATTAAGTCCTTGTTTTAATATATTCCCTAGCTTGTCTTTCATTCTTCCTACAAATTGGGACTTTTATAAAAAGCCGCGGGACTCGGGACAAACTGTTGAAAATCGGGAATGTCCCGCCGAAAGCGGGACGTCTGGTCACCTTAGTTATGGATAACAAGGTTTCATACAATCAAAGTACTCTAAGTGTAATAAGTTAAAAGAAGAAATTAAAACTGTCGTCAATTGTGTAAAATTGTATGCAGTTAAGTCATCCGATCTACTGTCCAGTTCCATTTTTTTAACTGTTTGCGGAGAAATAGCAGCTCTTGTGCTGATACAGGGGCATCGAATTCTATTGCAGGAGAAAGATTTTATAAGTTGTAACGAGATCGAGGATTTGGATTTAAAACAACAAATATTGCCATGGTACTAGCTGATGGCAAGGAAAGAAATGTTCAAGCTTTGACAACGGTGGTAAATCTTAATGTGGAAGAAAAGATAGTCCGTATGAAATTTATTGCTTAACAAAAGCAAAAGTTAACAGGACGTTACTTGGAACTGATTTTCTACAGGCTGCGGGAATAGTGCTTAACATCCAGAATGGCACTTGGTATTTTAGTGAAAATCCACAGAAGCAGTATCCCTTTTAAAAAGAACCATCTGAAACTAAAAAAGACTCCAACGTACTAACATCTCTGAAAGTAATCTCTCCAGAAACAAAAACGTCTGTTGACACTCCTGATGCAATACCGGAAGCAACCGAATCCGTGAAGTTGAGAGATGATGAAGGGAAACATTTGACGAGAGAACAACGGAAGAAATTAAATTTCAAGAATCATACTGATTCTATGTTAAATGAATCATGCCGATTCAGTGATGTTTCAGGGAATCATCTCGATTCCATGTTAAAGGAATCATAACGATTCTGTGAAGTTGAGTGGAATAATCCTGATTCCATGTTAAATGAATCACCCCAATTCATTGATGGTTTGGAGAATTATTCTGATTCCGTCCAAATTTAGACGAAACAACTCAATTCATTGATGTTTGGGAGAATCATCCTGATTCTGTGCAGTTAAATCAATCATTTCAAACTCGTCATCAAAAGATTCCCGGTTTACGCTTCATAGAGATGAATGTGAAATATCTTGCGGACTCTTGTCGAGACGTCATCAGAGCCCGAGGGGGAGTCTATAACCTAACGGTAAATGGGAACATTCAAAAAAACTTTTGAACATCTAACATCTCAAACTATTAGTTAAACGATTCGACAGATTTTTGCATGGACATAACGTTTCCTCTTATCCAAGAGTTATGTTACTTTTATTACTTTTGAAATGTAATTCTTCTACGTAGTGTGTTTATTTTAATTAAATTTGCTTTCTTAAATGTAAAGTTTACATGGCCCTCTGGTTATACATTTAAACCATTTACAGAGAAAGAGACGATGACCTTAAAAATCGTGACTTAGAAATATTCAAGAGATTCATTCAGAAGAATAAATAATACAGGTTTAAATTTAAAAATAATCACCGAAGAACATTATTTTCGCAGCGTTATTTGAAGCTGTAGTTCAAGGCAACCTTCACAGGCCCGTTTTATCAGATTTCATCACGTGAAAGCGAGAGTTGATTTAGATCTATATTTAAAACTTATTTACTTAGAATTCTGGAAACAGAATTAATTTAAAAGTTGATTTTATTTTAAAACGAAATCATTTTTTAAAATTGCATCTGAATAACTTATAATGTTGGCTTTTTTAATTTAATTAAATGTATATTTAATATACAGAAACATATTTAACAAATTTAAAATACCTAAATTTGGTTTAATGTAGAATCGAAACATGGTATACGGAAATGAAATGAGGGAAAAATTAACCAAGTCGACCCTTTTTCCGCAGCTAACCATAGTTAATCGTTAAATCAAGAGGCGATAAACGATTTTGAAGTTTTTTCTTTTAATGTAACAGACTATAATAATCTAATGTATTTCAGATGAGACTTATGAAAAAATAGTTAACCATTTTTATTTCATCATTTCAACTTAAAATGATTCTGTAGAGTCAAAGTTTTAAAATAACAATATTGCATTAGCCAAAAATTCAGAGATAACTGTTAAACAGTCATGACATTAACTAATACAGCAGTAATTATTATTGTCATTACATATTCAAAATAACGTTTTAGAGATTATTCATTTTCTCTAACTAGACAATGGAAAAATGTTACCTCATGAAAAATTAGAAATCTCAGAAATAAAACTAATGAATCAAGATAGAACGTTTGTTCATCCAACCCAAAAAGAAGTCAAACAAATAAAAAATTACAGCTAGAAACAGTTTTATGTAAATTATAAATAATAATTTTAAGAAACAAATTGTGTATTTTAGAATCATCAAAATTTTGAAATTTATTGCAATATAAATTAACTCACCCTTTTTCTTGCAGTCACATCCTGGACATGGTCCTTCATATACAGTTTCAATTGCGCAGCCAGGTGGACATTTTGGTGGATCGCAGACTACCTTTGGCTTTTCTTCAATCGTTTCTGTAAAAGTTATTTATGTTACTAAGTAAGCTTAAAACTCATTTCTGGCCGCTCTCTATTAAGTTTTATAAAATGTGAATCCTTATTTTATTAAAATTTTTGAAAACCATTATGGAAAGTAAAATATTTATTAAAAATTTTATTGCATTCAATTTCCACAAATAAATGGTGAGTAGATTGCTAATGTTCTCTCAAATATCATGCTTTTCCATTGCGTTATATTAAATGTTTCAATAAAAAAATGGAACTTCTTAGGATAAGTTTAGTAATATTATTGGGTTATTTTGTGGAAATCGCGCGAAACACTATTTTAAAACTATTTTAACCGCTGAATTACCCGGTATTTATTATTGATGAATGAAAACATCAAGCAGCTGAATTTCATTACAATATGTACTTTAGGCAAATTTTCAAAGATAAATACTTGCCATCCTTCTTGCATTCACAGCCTGGACATGGTCCATCGTATTCTGTTTCAAGAACACAACCTGGAGGGCATTTTGGAGGATCACATACCACCTTTTTAGACTGATCCTCAGAAATTTCTGAAAAGTAAATGTATATATATATTTCAGGACTAACATTTTTATCCCCCTGATGTATGGAAATAAGCACAATATTAAGATTGTAATATAAGATGTTTCAGAAATTCGGATCCAAAGAAAATAAAAACACATGCAATTACAGAACGTGTTTAAGATATTCGTGTGTTCCTCCTTCATAGTCTTGGTACATCTTATTGAATTCTTTGGCATACCACTAAAAAACCAGCGAAACAAATGAATTTTTAATATCCCTAGTTAAAGAAGGTAATGAATGTGCAGCAGAAATTTGGAATAAAGTTTTAATGGATTAATTAATTTAGATTAATTTAGTTTGACTGCACAGCATTCCTACCCAAACCAAGATTTGCCAAAAAGTTTTCCAAAGAGACAAGGGCTATAAGTTTGCAAAGTTTACAAAGTGGCAATAGTTAACCATTTTTGCGTAAAGAACTCAAAAGGCTCTGGCAACTGTCAGTTGCAGAGTAAAGCAATGCGACACCTCAAAAATATTTCGAAATGAAAAAAAATTGTTTATCAAATAAAAGAAAATAGAAAAAAAAATAAAACACTCAACAACCATGAGTGGAGGTCATGGGGTCTCCTGCTAGTGAAAATAAACAAGCTGAGTAAAAGTAAATAAGACACTAACCTTTGTCGTGCAACATATGGCACACTCGAAACGAAATCTACAAATCCGACTAAATATATTCCTAATCAAAACTGAGTAACCGCTCGATGAAAATGAAGCGCGAAACAAAACTGCACCTCGGTAAAATACTAAACGTTTAACATTCAACCTGTAGAATATTGGTGGGTGGAGAAACTAAGCTTTCCTCAAGGCTTGTGCGGGAGTTAAAAATCAATTTTAGTTTGGTCTGAAATTATGAAGTGTTAACTAAAAAAGTTCTGAATTCAGCTTGTATTGCCGCGGGCTCGCTTGCGCAGGTCCGGCCCTGACTAGATGTTGACTAAAACCTTGTCTATATGTTGGCTAGAACGGAAATTTGATTACCGAAGAAGAGGAGCCAGCATTGGGTCACGATGGGTCCTAACGGGGTGGATCAGTATCTCATTAAAAGTGGGTGATTTAATCGAGGGATTGCAAGGAAAGGAAAAGGTGCAAAATTCAATAACCAGAGTCCAACTTTATTCCGGAAGAAAATATCTTTTTAATGAGGTGTTTGATTTGAAGCAGGTAATTATGAAACTGATTGAATATTTAGTTCATATGATTTGAAGTAATGGTATTTTTAAGAAAGAGAGCATTCAACCACCAGCGAAGACCTATTTCTCTTTACTTTCAGGTTATTGATTTAATAAGTGTGAACTGAATTTTCATTGAGAAAAATGACTATATAAGTATATAAGTTTATTGATTTGACTTGGGGTTTAACTCGAAGGGGTTAAATCAATCACGCAGTTCCTCCACACTGTAGCGTTCAGCTTTAGTTCAGCTTTTTTAAGTTTGATACCTTATTTCTTTAATTTTTATAGCGTCAGAAAGTGGAATTTGATTGAGGAAATTCAAGATAAGGATGTAAGTTTAATGATATGACTTAGGATTTAGATCAATCATGCAGTTCCTCAGCACAGTAGCTCAGCTTTCAGAAGCGTTCAGTTTTAATTCAGCATTTTTTTAAGTATGATTAAGTATGATACCTTATTTCTTTATTTTTTAGTATCAGTAAGTGAGGAAGTTAAATAAGTTAGTAACAACTAAAATGAAAACGTTATTGTTATTATAAAATTTCTTGATAAAAAGCTACGAAACCTCAACAAAAAAATATAGAAAGAACGTCAGATGAAGAACTCCTGCGAATTCGGATATATCCTATATGCATGAATTTCTGGGCTAATTTTATGAAATGAAAGATCCATTTAGCGTAGTGGACTGAATAACCTAACATGTAGGATTACGAGATAACCTAACATGTAGGATTAACTTATACTTTTGAAGGTGTTTAAGAAGAAAACAAAGTTTGTATGTAAGACGTACTCATATAAAAGAGTTTGATATGGTAAAGGCTATCCATACTAAAGGTAATTAAGTGTTTCAGTATTGTTAAAGAAAAGCTAAGGACATGCATTTCACTATATCACTTTAAGAGAAATTTAATAATAAGATATATTAATTAATTTTTAAGTATTAGTCTGTACATACAAAGCTGGGTATGATTATTCAAAAAGTATTTTATGGGGAAAAATTATATTCTCTGTTCTTAATACTCACATTGTAGAATGTGTAATGTTCCAATCTAGAATTTTCAAATCAATGTGTGGAACATTGAGTGCTGGTAAGTGAATAATCGCTTTAGTTCCGTAGACAGAAACGTAAACTTGAGAAGGGTTAGTTACCCTTTATTGCTCAAAATAAAGTTCACAGTTGACCCTTTCTCAGGACGTACATAAAAGACTCCACTTGGTCTTGAACTCAAGAATACTAAGAAATCAAACTTAACTAAACTAAAAAGATATAGCCAAAGCTAACAAAATTCTACAAGAGGTGGCCCCTTAAAAGCTAACTAAACGGCGAAGGCCTGAAGTACGGCCGAGCATAGAAATAGCTTAGAGAGGGTGTAGCCAAAAGGCGAACGCACGCATGTCAGAATCTCTGGCTCTCTAACGAATTCAATAGAACTTCCACTTTAAGTACTGCTCTTCCTTCATTTGCATTCAACCGCGATTCTAAAAACACACTCTGTAAGCTGAAATTAGAAGGGATAGAAAAGTAACTTTAACTAAAAGCAACTGTTAAGAACTTAGGATAAACCTTACAAATGAAACTCGAGAAGTTTTAGGCAAATAGATATTGTTTATGAATAGCATATTCAAAAATAAGACGTCAAATTTTAACTTTTGATATCCTTGTTAAAATTAAAATTTTATTGTCATAAAAGTTAAATAATAGAAACGAGATTAGGACATTTTAAGACGTTTTAAGTGATTTTCCATTAATTTTTCTGACAAAGAATATTTATAAATGTGTATTTATATAAATCAACTATTCATCAGAAGTAACAGAATCAATTTTTTATTTCAATTATTACTCTAGTAAAGTTGGCATTGAAAGTAATTTCATTCAACAAAATATTGCATTATACTGTTTCTTTATTACTTACCCTAAATAGTCCTATATTGTCACATCTGATTTCAGTTAAATATTTTGACATAAAAATCGAAGAAATCAAGGACAGTTAAATTAAAGCTAGGATAATTAGTCAGTAATTACTTAGTTACATTCACAAGAAGAACTCTCAGTACAAGTAAATCAGAAGTGAAAGAGTATGTGTAGATAAATTATATAGTAAAGAGTATGTGTAGATGAATTATATAGAAGTGAAAGAGTATGTAGATAAATTATATAGAAAGAGCGTATGCAATTTTTCTCCGTATATATTATGTGAGAAAAATGTATTGTTCGGATGAAAGATGTATTTTTATTTTTGTTAAATTGCAGTAAATTAAAAAAAAAATTAAAACTGTCAATAAAATTCTAACCGTAATTTCATTCCACAATACAAATTTTAAAGTAAATTATATGTAATGCTTTTCATTAAAGAATAAATAAAAGTTCCTTTAAATATATTAAATAAATAATCCACATTTAGTACAAAAAGAAAAATGCATTAACAATTACTGAGACTTGCAAGCTAGAAAACTGTTGCAATGGAATTACTTTTCAGATTTCAGTGGACAAACTTAATAGTCAATCTTATGTCTAAAAGCCTAAGTTTGGAAATCATTATAATACATAATGATCCGTCGTATTTTAAGTAATGAGAATATTGTCTTAGAATGGAGTAAAATGTCTGCGTTTAAAACACATTATCCTAGATTCAAATTATAGTGCAATATATTGCATTTATGCAGAGTGTTGCCTGCTTACGGGTTCGTAATAGATTGAATGCAGAAATCCTGTAAGAAGTTAATGAAGTTTATTCTTATCACAAGCTTTTATAGCTCTTTATATCGGCCGCGCGAGGCAGTTCTAGCAATTTCTAGAAAGTAAAAAGAGTAGAATTACGGTTACAGCTAACATAGTAGTCAATTAAAGATAAACTTTTACTCAATGTTAAATGCGCGTGCTCTTCTATTTTTACTTTTACGGCTTACCTTTCTCTTAAAATTTGTCCCGCGCAATAAAACAATTTTAATTGTAATTCTACTAAAAATATTTAACTAAATACAAAATTCGTAACAAAGGTTTTTCAGCTTTTATTTCCATGCTCACAATACGGAATAGAATGTAACATATTTTTGTTATATTATGTATGTGTTATATTAATCTGAAATATATTTCTGTTAATGCTAAACTAAGTCTACAAATTAAATAATACTTACCATCTTTTTTACAATCGCATCCTGGACATGGTCCATCATACTCAGTTTCAATCATGCAGCCAGGAGGACATTTTGGTGGGTCACAGACTATCTCAGGCTTTTCATCAATAATTTCTGAAAATAATTATGCTAGTAAATGCATACATATATTTAATTTTATACTTTATAATATATATTTATATTTTATATATAATATTTTTAAATTTATATAATATATATTTAATATTTTTTCTATTATAATATTTTTTCATATTAAATATATATATGTTTATATTATAATATTATATATATATATTAATATTATATATTTTCAAGGTCGTGGGTAAGGGAATCCTGATTATCCTATCTAAGGAAAAGGTGTAGTGAAGCATTATTATTAAGCCTATTGTACGGGAAACTTGAACCGGTAGCACTTAAAGGTGTATTAAAATCAGTGGCGGCTCGTGGCTAAAATTAGTGGGGGTGCTGCTCCAAAAAAATTTAACCTTTGGTTTAAAATTGTGTAAAAGGAATATAAAAAGAAAATTTATTTTGAAACTTCATGAAATCTTACAAGAAAAAATTTAAACATTTCTTAATTACTTTAACCAAAATTGTTACAGTTCAAGCTTTGCCTATTCATTTAAAAATGAAATCCATTCCTCTTGTTTTAATTTGAGCGAAATGATAAACAATTTTCTCCTTGATCTCTGAATGACAGCTGAGGAAATTTTTCTTTAAGCAATGCAAGCGCATTTAGTCTTTCCGAATTTTTAATGCTTCTTCGAAAAGTTTTCATTCTTTTCAATGTTGAAAAGCAGCGTTCTGCCTCTGATGTAGTCATGGGAACTCTCAATAGAATTTTTATCAGTTTCGTAATTTCACTAAACACATCGTCTAGATTATTTTCGAAGATAAATTTCAGTAGCTCAATTAATTTTTAGTATTTATGGATATCAGACCTATAATAGAATACTTTTAGTTCAGTTTCAAGCTTTTCTTTGTCAATCACTAGATATGCTTCAGTGGTCAGTACTATTTCTTCTGTAGAATGTTCATTCCTAAAACTAAGCATTTCTTGTTAAACAATTTAGCAGCTGCTAAGTGTTTAGTGGAAGAATATCTGTGCATTATGTCAATATATAGCATAAAGTCACATATTTCCTTAGCTTCTGCCATCAGTGTCTCGCAGTTCATCGAGTTATTCTCGCAGTTCATTGAGTTTCTTAAATGTAAAATAGCAGTTTTGAAATTTGTTATATATTCATTAACTTTAAACATACTAATTTCTCTGGATTGCATTTAGTTGTATATTATTTCAACATGAGGCATCTGATAAAAATCTCTAACCAAAACTTGAAATTATCATCATTTAGATATTTTTAAATTCCTGTTGCTTTTGCAATAGTTTGATCTGCATTTGATGATGAGTGAATTTCAGTAAGGCAATTTTTTAAAAGTTACAAATTTTCATGAACTCTGTTTATGGTCAGTATGATGAAGTTCCACCTTGTGGAGGAATAACCACACGCGCGGAGTAAAACGAAATCACGTTTTTAACAACATACCAGAATTTCGGCACTGCAAAAGCGACAGTGCTTTTCTCTGTACCCGGCTCGCGTGCTGTTTTCTGTGTGCGCATGCGCAGAACAGCCAAACATCACGTCGCTGGAACAGTGAAGCGCGCAGTTCCAACAAAGACTTTTGTACCTTTTTCACAAAGTGGGGGATGGCTACTGACATTAAGTTTAAGGATTATGTATTGTAAAATTATAAAGAAAGAATTAAAGACTAAAGGGCACACTATATTAAATATTAAAAATAATAATAAGTGGAAATAAGGGGTGCTGCAGTTCCACAGTGATTATTACGAGCCGCCACTGGTTAAAATTAAAATGAAATGTCATGAAAAAGAGATCTCCGATAAAAACTATCATTTCTGTACAATAAATAATACGAAGACCACTCCCTTGCTCACTTTTTTTCACACAGAACTTAGCAGAACAGAAGAAAGTGTTTGAAACTTTAAACCTGGTCGATTAATGAGTAAAGAAACATGTTTTATTTCTCTGGACACATCAGAGACTTGAAACCGTTTTGAACAATTTTTCGTAATAATAATTAGTATTAGAATGAGTCCCAAATGAGTACAAACCTTCCCCTACGTGCACTCTTACTCTCAGAAAACAGTTAGTCACTCGTAAGAATAATAAACGAGCGTCAAATACCTATGTATTAAGAATAATAGATAGAGCTATGTAGTAAGTATGCTACAAAGATAAACAAAAAAATATTAACTACAAAATTGAAAAGTGAAAAGGTTGAAATGAAAACTGAGAAAACTAAGAAATTTCAATGAACAAATCGAAAATAGCAATTTAGTAAAAAACAGGTTCTTTTTACAATAAACAACTCGGCTGTCTATTAGACACTTGAAGTATTGATCTTTTTATTATTAAAATGCATTAGAAACAGATCAAAGCAAAATTTTAAATTTCAAAAGCTATTTGGTGCAATCTTTCAAAAACTAAAGAAAGTACCAGCAAATTGAAGGAAAAATTAAAAATTTGCCATTTGAAGCTCATAGTTGCACGACAACCGCTAATATGTCAACGTGCAACGTACTACGTCAACGTGCTCGTAGTTGCACGACAACGTTGACAGCACTAAATGGCGTTAAACTTTCAAAATGGCCGTAAATATTAAAACTAAAATGCGCGAGTAAATTAGGATTGCTAAATATTATACCGGTGCTCTGCTCGCATATATATATATAACACTGTTGCTTATATACTGTTGCTTATATATATATGTTGAACTGTTGCTTATATATATTTAAGCAGTTCGAGTTAGGAGAAAGATATTTCTTATTCTACACTTTGCTTACAAATTTATATATTTAAGTTTTTTATACATGCTCATCTTAGGCAAAGTCTGCGAAACGCAGTTAGTAAAACATATAGGTGAATTTCAGATTACCTTCACTAATTTTTCACCTATAGTTTTTGGGAAAAAAAGTGTTTTAGTTGAACAATGCAAACATACTCTAATGTACAAAAGAATAAATTTTGAACCATCTAAAACATGGTAGAATAGGGAAGCCTTATAAGGTATTTTCCCCCTCTTTTCTACGTGCCTTCGTAGTGTAACGGTACCACCCTTGTCGCGAATTACAGACGGTGTTCTAGTCCAGGTTCTAGTCCCGGTGAAGGCACTGCTTATTTCTCATGTCTCTTACTTAAAAAAAAAAAAAAAAAAAAAAAAAAAAAAAAAAAAAAAAAAAAAAAATAATGACTTCACAGTGGCGCCCGAACTAAAATCACTACCAGGATTTGGACATTGGGTCCCCTAATCCCCAGTCACTCTTTTATTATTTTCCTCTTTTCTGCATGTCTTCGTGGTTTAATGGTAGCACACTCGGCGCATATTCGAGAGGTCCAGGTTAGAGTCTCAGCGAGGACATTGCTCATATTTCCTGTCTCTTGCTTAAAAAAACTTCTAATGTCTCTAAAAGCTGTAATGACAAATACAAAGTATCTTTATTAATTTAAAGTTTACTATAGATTTTAATTTGTTTTTAATACCTTTTGCTTGAAAATAAGTTGTAAAGTATTTTCTCCCTCCTTTCTGCATGCCTTTGTGGTGGTGTAACTATAATCACATCCGACGCGTATTCGGGATGTCCACATTATTATTAATTACGTGTTCCGCTCTAAGGCACTACTCAGAAGGAAGGGATGCCTGCATGGAGAACTTTTTAAGGGAACCTGGCTCGTATTAATACGTTACGCATGGGGAAATCCACGAAACCACCCATGTTAGCAGCCTGTTCGCTTGTTTCGAATTAGGATCGAACTACTTCAGGGAATGTACCGCTCGGCTACTGGTGGGTCTATTCGGGATGTCTGGTGTCCGAGTCCGGCAAGTGTATTACATGTTTTTCCCGTTCCAGCATTCATGCAGCCTAATGTCGCGACAAAATAATCAATTGCAAGCATTTGAAAAAATTACACCTGTACGTAAATTTAATGATAAAGATATACTTGTACTAAATTAACAGCTAAGGTGTAAAAACTAATTTTTATTCTTTGTTCTTTTTACTGACTACGCATATAATTATAGAAATTTATATAACTTCCTTAATATATATAGAATATGATCGAAACATCTATGCTGTCGAAAGTCTGGAGTACTTACCATCTTTCTTACAATCACATCCTGGACATGGTCCTTCATACTCTCGCTGTATATCGCAACCGGGAGGACATTTGGGAGGGTCGCACATTATTTTTCTTGATGGATCTTCATAAATCTCTGTAAAAGAAACAGAACTTCAGTTTCGATCTTAGGCACGTATTTGTGATACATATGTTAGTAATTTATTTATTTTTACCACCTTTCTTGCAGTCGCATCCTGGGCACGGTCCACTATATACAGTTTCGATAACACAACCAGGAGGACATTTTGGAGGATCACATATTACTTTTTTAAACCGATCTTCATTAATTTCTGGCAGAAAAAAAGAAACATTTTATTTTTATAGCAAAAGTTTTTGGAATTATGAAATATTGGCTAGCATAGGGGGGAAACTATTCTGAAAGACACATATTTTAATAAGAATTTAAAAGTTTCAAAATTCTTTACTCTTTTATTTTTAGGTATTTATGAAAAACATAGAGGCACACATTTATTATTATAAAACCTTTAATCTTCATTAAATATGGATCCACGCCATTTAATTTTAAAATTATTTCAAAAGGCAAAAAGCAGAAAAAAAATCGAACGATAGATGTTTGTGTTATGAAAAAAAACTTATGATAAAAATTGCTGGTTGAATTGAAAAAAATATTAAAAAGTAAAAATTGTTGGTTTGATTTTTTAACGAGCAATTTTCTTTTGATAACCTGCTGTATATTTACCATCTCTCTTACAATCGCAGCCTGGACATGGTCCTTCGTAAGTTGTTTCAATTCTACAGCCAGGTGGGCACTTTGGGGGATCACAAACAACCTTCTCAAGAGGGCGATCTTCTAGATCTGGAACTAGAAACAATATAATTGATTATTTAAAGTCCGTAGAAACGGTTTCAAATACACTGCGAGAATAATGTTGAAAATTAGAATATAGGCTCTTCTCAATTTTGATTTTATATCTAAATTTAAAATTAAGGTATACTTTTTAGTCCAAAGGGCGTTAGCACACAAGGCTATTAATTTCGTCTTGGCATTTTAAATTGGTTCACCATAAATGTCGCTTCGCTTTTCAAATTGTTGCCACCAAATATTATCGCCCTGTGTTATATTTAAAGAAATTAAATAATGAAGAATCTGCATAAACATATGTATGTTTCTCGCATTGTGATAAAACAACGGTACCTAGAGCCATCAAATTTTGGATAACATAATCATTCACTGAATATGGGCATCTAGAAACCCTAATTTTGAATTCGAATTTTTTTTTATTATATATTTCATATTTTTTAACACTTTAACGAATTTGTAAACAACTCAATATTACGTAAAAAATTAGCTCCAGGCGAAGATATCGGAAACAAAACTAAAATGATAATGCTCCTGAAGGACTATTAGTGTTAATTGATTGGTTAAAGGCGAAGAACATTAAAAATGAAGAATCTGAATAAATATTTTTATGCATTTGTGATTGTGATATAAACTTTTTACAACGGTACCATAAGCTATCAAGTTCGAATAACGTACGTACCCGAATATGGCACCTCAAAGTTTGGAATTATTTGTATTTAAACTTTAACGAATTTTTGATTAACAAACTCAACAATTTAAAAGCGATCAACAGTAAAACTCTACGGGGGGGGGAACCTTTTTATCTTCAGCGCGCGGAACTATGTATCGAAAATTCTAAAGATATGCTCATTTTAAAATTATTTTGCGATATCGCTGTTGAATTGAATTTTTTTTTTAAGTACGAAGAACATGATATTTAATAAATGAAGGTAACACAAAAAACGCTGAAAAAAGTCCCTCTGTACGTAATTTAAAATCTGAAACCTTTCAATTTTTTTTTTCCGGCTTCAAAAGTTTTAATAACGTACTATACCAGCTCTAGTGTCTGTTCTTAAAATCTGAGTAAGTCGAATCAGAATAGCTGGTATTTTATGTTACGAAAGACTAAGCTTAATATTATGAAAGAATGCTGAAAGTGTTTCAGCGAAAAAAATTAAATCAGGAGTGAAGCATATAAGGAAAAATAACTTAAGAACGAAATTTTAGACAAAATAATTGCAAATAAGTTTTCTATAATTTAAAGTAAATAATAAAATTTAAAAAATGAGAGAGTATAACCTGAACTATTCCACGACTCAATGAAAGCTGTCATACATGGCCATTATGGCGCTTTTCTCGAATTAAATATATCCGATAAACTTGAGAAACCAATATCAAGTATCCATATATGTTGTTCATTATGCCAGAGTAATAGTAATGATATTTCATGATGTATAAGCTGGCTTAGTATATTTAGAGATAAGGCTTGGAACCTTATCCTAATGGAACTTAACACAGTAGAGATTGTTTGGATAAAGAGATAGAATTCCTTTTTTAAAAACCTTTTTAAAAACATATTTTTGATAGTAATCCGAATTAAGCTTGACTTTTTTTCTACCTTCCTTATTTTAAGTTTTTCGTTATGACAGAATCCAGTAATAACCGTAAAACCTTTAGAAAAACTTTCCTTGTTTTCTCTGAACCAATATATTAAGTCTTTTTCGGTAGTAAATCGATCCCTTTCAACAGCAATCAGATAAGTATATCCAGGCCTCGTCAATTATAATATATATTTCCAATTTTCAACTGCCAAATAATTTTCATACAGCAATCTGCACATAACCTTACGCAGAGAAATATGTTTCAGCGTTAAGCGATGAATATCATGTTTTTTGTTTTGATTAACTTCAAAACAAATTTTATAATTTTGTTCCCTCTTCCTATAGAGATACTTAAAGATTTTTCAATAGCTCTTTGGGGGGCTGTATTTTCCTTAAAAGTGTGAGATGCGATTTTAGATTTAATAAGAGCTGTACGTACCTTTGTTGGATATGCATTTTTTTGCCCTTTTTCTCAGTCAGATGTAAACTCTGACATTTCTTTCCTTTCATATTAATTATGTCACTTATTTTACGCGTAGAAATATTAAAACCATGCTTTTCACATCTTTTTTCAATAACTAAATAGGCGCATTTTTCTTCGAACAACGCAAAAATATAGCCTTCAATCCTTTGTTTATTTTTCAGCGACATTTTAAAGAATATAATAGTTTTAATGCTGCAGATGGTAATTAAACGTTATTGCAACTGGATGCCAGTCATGTTTATATTTATAATTAACATTTAAATTCTCGAAAAAAATTAAAATCGTTACAAAAATCTGTAAACGCCCTCTGTAAATTATATTAAGCTGGGGTTAGCTTCATATTTTATCTTTAAACTACCTTTATAGATATTTATGACAAGCACTTTTAAATAAAACATAAACGAGTGCATCAGAGAACACAAGTAAAACTTCGGCATATGCTGTTATTCAGTTTCATCTATTTTCTTTTTTCTTCTTGTTTAATCTGTAAATTGTGAAAAGATATATTTATCTGTAGATCTCATTTAGGCGCCGTAACTCAGTGAAATATAAGAGGTTTGCTCTAATACTTGGTAAGAGTACGGAGGCATTTGTGTTTCAAAATGTTAACGTATGGAAATTAACTACATCAGTTAGATGTATATTCGGTCTTGCAACAGAATGGCAATGTAATTTGTGAATTTTGATAGTTTTGTTGTTTAACATAAAGAATAATTTTTCTTTAAATTGTAGAAAAAAAGAATTTTCGATAACTTTGATTGTGCTTTAACTTGCATCTTATTCATCATGATGTTTCATGTCGGAAATAAATTTCTTCTGGAAAATTCTTCTTTCTAAATATATTTACGATTATCTTTTAAACATGGATGTGGTCAATAGTTTATTTTCCTGCTTATATTTTACTCATCTTAAAAAGGGAAATTCCCAGTCATGTTATTGTAGGTTTGCTAGTAATCAAATTAAAGCATTTGAGGTTTACATATCGTAGGAGGAAATCTTTGAGGAAACAGTAGCTAAATTTTATCCATGCAAATTGTAAAATTTCTGAGAATTCTACACGGCCAGCTCTTTTTCACTGTTGAGTAGTTTTGACATGTATCTTAAACGAAATTTTCAACGTTTAGCAGTAATAAACACAACTTTCGTGAATTTAAGAATAACTTTATGAACAAGGTAGCTTACAACTTGAATTAGCAGTTTCTAACGTAATATATGTTATGTAAATTGTGTTTTCGCTTCTACTACTTGCATGTAAGGAAAGGTGTTATGATTGATGGAAAATGAAAAGTTGAATAAAATGCTGGGGGTAGAGAGTGGGAAGGAAAACACTGATATTTTGTGCAAATAATTAAAAACTTCAGCACAAAAAGAGTTGAGAGGGAAGAGGAAAAATTACAAAAACTACATAGCTAATGTTTTCATCGAGAAACAAGAAGTTAGACATATTTACGAGATCTATGAGCTGATTTTTATAACTGAACTGTCTAATTTAGAATGCAGACTCAAATTAATATTAAATAAATTTAAATGTTAATTAAAGGTATTGTGATTCAGTTATTAATTGCTTTGAAATTTTCTTGTAATGGTCTGACAATTTATGCTCATATACTATATACGTATACAGGATAAAAATTATTGAGCTATATGAAATGAAAAAAGCAAATTTCCAAAAGCTACTGAGTTCCAAAATTTGATTCAAATTTTAAAGGTAACTACAGATATTCGTATTTAATTTATGACATGCTCGATATGCTTGACATCAATGGCTATTACATGGCGCAGACGAAGAAAATTCTGCAAACGTCACTAAAGTGTCGAGATATCAATGCTTTCGATGACCTCCTGAATGCTGTTTAGAGCTGGACGGTAATTTCAGGGTTATTTGCGTAAACTTTGTCTTAATATTACAGCACAAAAATGGGTCACAAGCAGGAGTTGTGCTCTGTCCTTCATTAACCACATCTTTTTCTAATTCTGGGTCACCATGGATAAAAGGGATGACATCATTTTTCTAAAATTTTGACATAACATTCAGAAGTCACCTTACCTGCAATGAATTTTGCACCGATTATTCTGCGACATGACATTGCACACCAAACAGTTACCCATTTGAGGGGGGGGGGAGTTCTCGATCGCGAAATGAAGATTTTCAGCTTCCTAACCCATTCAGATGAAAGTGAGCTTCGTCGCTAAACCAAACCATAATAAAATCGACATTGTATTTACGAAACACAAACGCAGTTCAATGGCAGTGGCGCTCAGGTATATTGTGAATTTCAGGTTTGTACGGAAAGAGCTGCAAGTCTTGAACAACTATTTGTCACAAAGCCTCCCGGTTGATTCGCACTGCTGTGAAGCTCATCTGATTGATTTCTGATTGTTATAACAATTAGACGGTTGTTTTTAGCTCGTACTCGGTCGAATTTCCTCTGAGTTTCAGACGGACTGTTATTTCTCGAACAGTAGGCTTTGACGAAGAATGTCCGCTCAGAAACGCTTGTTCCGACATTTTCAACGAAAAATGAACAACAACAGCAATACGTGGTCTTAAACAAATTTTCAATGTGCCCTGTATTAAACTTCCAAATTTTAATTGAATCTCGCCAATGGTTCAAATGTTATCACGTATTGTCTATATAACTCAATAATTATCACATTGTACAATGATAAGTTTTAGGTGATCGCCTCCCGTAAATTGTTATCAATGAAATTCATCAGCAGTTTTAAAAATATAAGAAAAACTTCATTATTAATAGTGTCGCGTAAATGAAGTGATTGTATTAAGACAAATAAAGCGGAAAGTACTCAAGTGCTAAGTGAAGTAACTGATTATATACACTGACGAACGAGCTGGACTTTCCAGATTTCGGAGGTTCTAGAAAATGGAGAACATTCTCTAATAAACGGAGCATAAAGGAAATAAATTAGCACATAGT